ATCATGACTGCATTCGTCACTTTATACCCAGCATTTGTATACAGTTTTGGGGTGCGGATCTCAACCGTTTTAAAGTTATGACCCAGGGACTTTGTCTCCAAAGGTGGGGCCAGATCCCATGGCAATTATGGAAGCAAATGTGCATTCTTCTCTTTATACTCAGCAATTGTATATATAGTTGTATAGTGTAGGGATCACAACCATTTCCAAGTAATAAACTATTTTTGGCCCCATCCTTTACCCCGGGGGGGGGAGGGGGGGGGATCAGCCCTACCATTTGTACAGTTTTGAACCCCCACTTCCCCATGAATGCTTCCAACCAAATATGATTGATATCCAGTGCATAAAATAGTTCTAAAGAAGAAGCTGTTTATAGCAATTCAGCCAAATTGCCCCCTTTTGGTCAGCCCCACTATTTATACATTTTTGAATCCCCACTACCTAATGATGCTTCCAGTCAAATATGGTTGATATCCATCTCTTAGTTCCAGAGAAGAAGTTGTTTATAGCAATATAGCCAAATTGCCCCCTTTTGACCCCACCCTAAGCCTCCTGGGGGTCAGCCCTACCATTTATACAATTTTGAATCCCTACTACCTAGGGATGTTTCCAGTCAATATGGTTGTTATACATCACTTAGTTCCAGAGAAGACATTGCTTAAAGCAATATAGCCAAATAACCTTTTGGCCCCGCCCTTCAGGCTCCTTGGGGTTCAGCCCAACTACTTGTACACTTTTGAATCCCCACTACCTAGGGATGCTTCCAGTAAAATATTGTTGATAACCAATGCATTGCACAGTTCTACAGAAGAAGTTATTTATAGAAATATAGCCAAATTGTTCCCTTTTGGCCCCGCCACTCAGCCCCTGGGGGGTCAGCCCCACCGTTTGTACAATTTTTAATCCCTACCTCCCATGAATGCTTCTGACCAAATATGATTGATATCCATTGCACAGTTCTACAGAAGAAGTCATTTATAGCAATATAGCCTAATTGTCTCCTTTTGACCCTACCATTTGTACAATTTTGAATCCCCACCACCTAGGGATCCTTCCAGTCAAATTTAGTTAAATTCGAATCCGTGGTTAAGAAGAAGTCGTTTGAAGAAATTGTTGACATACGGACGACGGACAGACGCCACGGTATGGCATAAGCTCAAAAATAGCTTTCAAAATCAATACTGCAATTCAATTAGCAGTGCCAACTTCAATCTAAACTACATTTTAAACTACCAAAGCATATCAGTTAGATGTACTATGTACTTAGATGACTGATGCTTAGTATTGCTGAGATTGTTTTAATGATTAATTAAATAACAGACCTGATCAACTGCTGAAAAAATTATCAAACCAAAATGTCATGCCCGAAGCTTTATTCTTAGCAAGTACAAATACTGTAACGATGTGATAGCATGACCAAGTTACATTAACTAAATGGTGATCACTGAAAGTCAATATACAGCCGTTGTAGATATTATTATCAGCATAATTTAATTACAATATATGATTTTATTTTGCTCAGTTTTACACCAGAACACAGGCTGTTTCCCCTAACTAAAATGTGCCTTACTTTCTCCAAATGACCAAAAAAGGAAGAATATGTGCCCAATATAATGTAAGTAATGCTACATTTTCCTAACTCATAAAGGAACAGGCTGTTGTAAAATTAGGTAAACCACTGAATAACTGAACCCATACTGAGTGTAATGGAAATTTGTCAAATTTCCACACTCACACAAACAGACATTTATATGGAAATTCCAGAAATTAGTAGTTAAATATGGGTCAATGTTCTTTCTTTTCAGTTTTGAAATAGTTTCTGCCCCAGAAAGCTTCTGACCAAGCATCATGACTTTATGTCTTTTTGGTTGCTAGTAAACTGAAGGCCTAATTTCATGACTCTTTTCTTTAAAAGAAATTGAGTGTTTTTAACAAATATGATCCCAAGGTTATTTCTTTAAACCAAACTTTATTGCTACTTTTAAACTTTCCATCTTGTGTTTAATTTGCATCCATTTGAAAATGTCCCATTTAACAGTATGGTGCCTTTGTTTAAATTTTGATACAAATTATCTCATTTCGAGGCAACTTCTTAATTTCCCTTTTTGTTGTGTAGGACTATTCACGCTAAGCCTACATGTATTGTAGATGCTCAATATTACCTCTGCTCCACCAGCCCCTAGCTGTGATTCATACCGTTCACATTTAACTTCCAATTTGTCAAGAAAAAAAATCTTGGAAAACAATGAAATTGTGTAAAAACTATTTGCATTGATCCGTGTTATCTTTGACTTTGATAAGATCACAGGGAAGTGATGTCACGGCATGTCACACTAAACGACACCACTGCATGTGCATAACCAGAAGGTGTCTATGAGGCAGGACAGAGCGGTGTGTAATGATGGATTCTCTGATAGGGCTCCTAAACATCTGTTAGGTACCTCAGGATAGAGACTAGAGGAGGGAAAGTGGGGTATTAAAACAGCGAACATACCATCAGCTATAGAGATTCAAGGCGAGAAACGGAATATAAAATTTATATTTTAAGTCAGAAAAAAAGGTGGATTTATAAGATATCAATATTGTATTGTTTATATTATCTGACCTCCTAATTAGCTGTATAGATGTGGGGAGAAATTTAGGTACAGCACATAATGTACCATCAGCTAAGGTATTGGAGATTATAATGATAACACATACCATTGGATAAGGACTACAGGCAAAACAGATTTACAGATTATAAATGTTACATCAATTACTGCATAGTTGGTGTTATTTGCGGGGGATTGGATTTTGATATGTATGCAGTCATCATAGACTGTGTGAAATTGAATATCCAGGGAGTATTTTTAATGTGAATTCAAAATATGCAATCAATATACACAGACATACAAAAAAAACACCATACAGGGTTTTTGCCAGGTGTTATTAGGGACCCATTCCCAATTGAAAAATAACCCTGAATTTTCCCAATTTCAGTCTTTATTTTCCCGATCGGATTAAAAAGCATGTTTATACAAATTTCCAGTCGTTATATGTACAACGTTCAGAGTATTGCTATCCATGATGGAGCATCAAAATTCATATATAATGAAAATTTGTATTTGAATAAATAAAAACACTGAAAATTGATGTATTTATATATGCTATACATTTAAGAGTAAGAAACAGCTAGAGGAAAACATTTCGCTAATCAGATTGCAGGTTATATTTTTCCAAACTTATGATATTTTCCCAAACCTGTTCATGTGGGAACATAGATGATATTTCCCAATTTTTGCCAAATGCCAATGATATTTTCCCAATTCCAGCTCAGGGGCCTTTCCCAAAATAGCTGGCAAAAACCATGATATAGATATGTTTACCCTTTCACTCCCAAAAACCAGCTCGATCAAACTTCAACTAGATGTCCATACTGTGGCACGTACTTGTCGATACTAATCGTATTTCAAACCTTACTCCACCAGGGTTGTTTCAAAATAATTAGGTAAAAACATCTCACATTATGATGTACATGATTTTATTGAAATGTCAAACAAGAAATATCTTTAAAAAAGATAAATGAAATATCTTTGAAAAAGGTAAATCGCAGAGTTTTAATGCATGTGGTTATAAGTCTGAGTACCTGTGTACAGTACGTATGACATTTCTTAAAGCATTAGATATATGATTTACTTGGTGAAAACAAACGTTTTGATCTTTAATCATGAGACATCTCTCAAATATGTTTATCACAAATTTCTAATAGCATATGTGTGCGTGTCACCATCTATTCAATATCAATATTGTACAAATATGTATTGTTCTTGTGTTAGCCAGTGATCATGTAATCATTATAAGAGACGGAAAGCATTAGATATCATGACATATGATATTTATATAAATGAGGAATAAACAAACAAGGTGACTGTAGCCTGGCATCATTTTGAGATGTAGGAACTGAAGTACACGATCATAGTGTAGCTCGGTCATATCTAAAACCAAGATTTCATTTTGTAGAAACTGTGTTGTTAACCAATCCTGTATGAGTCAAAAGACGGAATGAATCACAAAACGGTCTTAATCTACCAAATACAACTCGCTATTAAACTCAATAGTATCACTTTTTACCTCAAATCTGGGTTTTTTATAAACCAACCACTGGCCAATGAAATAAGGCATCTCTACCGATGGCGTCACCTAGCGGGTCTTTGACAAAGGTTTTCTCAACTTAATCAAGACAAATCTCAATTTGATCTTAATCGTCTTTGCGGAAAAATTAACCAAGAAATTACAGGTAGGCATGTGTGTGACTCTAAGAGTACCTAGTACATTGTATCTATACAGGAGTACCCACTGACGCAATGTTTTGACTAGGCGGATTTGTAAGAAATTAATCCCAGCAAAATAAAATAGACTAAATAAGCTGGAGTTTGACCCTTTTTGGTTCCAATGAAGCATTGTTAAATTATGTGTATCCTTTTATTAAAGGACATCTGCATGTATTGTATACAATATATATATATTACCAATAGTTCATTATATACAGGTTTGACTAGATATAATCTTATAAAACTTAATCAGGGTCACAGAAGTACTTGTAAAACTCAGTAGTTTTAGGGCAATCAGTGAGAGATCTATGGTTTGATTCCCCAATCAGACATGAAAGGTAAGTCATAATCACTTGCTCAATCGAATAGGTTTTCCCTGGGTACTCCATATTATATCTATTTTTCTCCCATGTTAAACTCCCAGAATACTTTCACCAAGGCTAATAACAGTGATTAATATAAGTTTACAAACCTGTTTAATAAATTTTGTAAAGTAAATAAAGTTCAATTCAATTGAATTTAAATTAACTTTTAATAAAAGGACATCAGTGCAGTGTCTATATTTGACATTAACATATGTTTACTATGTTGTAGATCTGATGAGGCTATACACAGGCAGGTTAGATAATACCTTACCCTATGTTGTAGACCTGATGAGGCTATACACAGGCAGGTTAGATAATACCTTACCCTATATGTTGTAGACCTGATGAGGCGCCATCCAGTCAGGGTTATATCTCCATTCTAGTATTGTCAGTAAAATGCCAGCGATATTCTTCAATACCCACACCGATGTTGTACACCTTTGTCACACGTTATGTAAGCAATCCCTGCTGATCACTGGTTTTACCATCAACAAAACGCTCCCTGCAGTTGTAGATACTCGTATCGAAGCGCAAACAATCACAGTGTTATGTGACAGATGTGGCCTAAGTCTACATTAACGCGACAGGATTTCATCAATAAAACAAAATTACCCACGCTCCCACTCGGTTTTTTCTCCTAGGTTATCCACACATGTATCATCTTCAACACAAGATGTGACAGAAAAGAGTAGTTACTGTGTACAACTGCAAAAACAGAATTGTATTAGAGTACGATAGTTTCCTTTAACTCATCCATTCAACGAGACCTTAAGAATGACTGTATCTCCAATATAGCTTCATCAAACCAGACAAATCACGGGCGAAAACGTACCATAAATACAAGATCTCATCACAGCTGGTGACACATCACAATCAAATGGCTATTTCACAACAACACAGATTACACTTTTTTCTTTCCGTTTTCAGAACCTTTTACAATTCTCTTTTCTCCACCACCTTTTACTATAAACAGACTCCTGGAGCCAATAAAACACTGCTCAGGTTTAAACAACACCCCTATGTAGACACATGCAATATTCGTGAAATCCTAGTCCTCCATTCTGCGGGAATCCTTTTATCAAATTTAAATATCTACTTTTATATCTCCATGACTATCAAAACAGAATAAACAATGGTTTCTAAAGCACAGAGTCTCATTAAACTCAAAAACACATCAGATCCCAGTCCTCACTATAACACAGGGTAGCTTTTTGTTAAGATGCCGACGATAAATGAAGCCGTTTCTTTTACCACTACAGAACTGACTGTACCCTTCATTGATCGATCTAACTACACAGCGTGTGGCGCTGTAGTAAAGCAGTCCATGTGGTCAGAGGTCAATCAGAATCACTAACCAACATGTACCCTGAATAGCTGCCAAGGATTCTCAATTACAAGCATGGTTACCTTTACAGTTTGTGAGACTTCGTAATGTCATTTATTCCAATGCAAAGTCTTTCAAATAAACTATATTCTGCTTCCAAAAAGACACTATTGAATACTAAACGTTTCAAATTTATTCTGTAGATCTGAGTTTTTGTGTTCAATAAAATAAAAAACATTTTAATAAAAATAATGATATGACAGATAAAGCTTACAAGTCTTTGTGTAGCTGTCTGATGAGGACAGCTTTATGCTACACCAGTGTCATACAGAGTCTATCTGATAAACCATGGTGAGATTTGTATGATTGAATACATGGTTCTTTCCCATTGTACATTGTGACAGAGTCATTGTGGGGGAGATGACATCCCAATTTCAACCATTCATCCATCGCCCTGCACCAATTAGGTGTCCCTTCCGAGCATCTTTAATACCTAGCTTTCCTATTGACTGTCACTCTGATGTTACTGGTCAGGAGTCAGGCTAGTGTTCACTTCTGTGTCTATAATCGCCAATACAATAGGTGTAGGGGATTAAGAGACGTTGATTACACATAAAATGGATTAAACTACTGCATAATGTTTAAGGTGCATTAAAATTTAAATCTGCAGAAATTTATATTCACAGACTTTAACATTTACACTGAAGGAAATGTACATTGCATACATGTACATATAATTTTAGTATGTACACTCCAAGGTTTTGTAACCATTTGAGTCTCAGTATGAGCAGTGAGGAAAATTACATTCATTTCTATTTTTATAAATTCGCAATTAATTATGTTAGTAAGACCATTTAATTATTTCAAAATTTTGACATTTTGTCAACCATTCCATTGTGAAGGCCACACCAAATTAAACTGAAGACCTATAGAATCACTAACTCCTAAAATCTGAAATTGAGAAATCTGCAGATTTTTCTTTTTTCAATTGCCCAGGTGTTTTACAGTGCAATTCTAAAACAAAGTTCCAATTATAGGAATCCAATCATTTCAAACTAAAAATTAAGAAAATTGATATCTTCAAGATCAAGAACAAAAAGTTGCTTAACATATTTTGACATGCAAAACAGTGCCTTCTCATTCTAAATATCAAGTCTGACGTACTACTGAAATGTGACAGTGCCTAAACTTTCTATGTACACACCTGATGGCAATACATGAAACAATGGCAAAAGTTTGCTCAGGAAAAATATTCTTCTGCATCTGTCAGATCAAAGGTCAAAAGAGGTCATAACTGGCTTATTTTGGTATGAATACAGTACATTATGTTATTCATCATGTACCTACCCCACTTACAAAATATCACATACCCTATATAGGCTATATCCCTGCAGGTCGGGGACCGAGGAAAGATTACACCTGCTGATACCCACCGCATGTCTCCTAGGAGGCGATAAATCTGCTGCACCAATTGCAATAGTTGGGATCTTTATATTTTTTCTAATTCAAACTACCTTTTTTCCCTAGTGCCTTGCCTGGCAATACCTTACTTTTTGCTTAAATGTTGAACATTTGCCCAGGTGAGGAAGGCAATGAAGGCAAGAAAATAACATACCAGAGTCCTTAAAAATGGTAGCTGTTATTTCCTTCTTTACATTCAGCATTAAGGGAAATTGGAACAACTGGTTAAGCCGTTGTCAGTATAATGTGACCGGGTGGAATGCAGTGCTGGGTCACTTCGGCATGGTATTTCAGTGAGATTTCAGTAAGATAGCACTATAAAGTCAGCATCACACCCGTGCTATCACAAGGAGGCAAATACATCAACATACACCATCTCTGGCACACATTTACATCCTTAAATGACCTTTAAAAGCTGTTAATAGGACGTTTAACAAAATATGACCAAAACAATCATACACATGTATGATTTCTCGTTGTGAAACAATGGCTGAGAAATGATTTGGAAAGAGAGATGGATGAATTCTCACATGCATGGAGTGGACAGATATATAATAAGGCAAATGTTGTTTCTGACTTTGTTTGAAGTAGGCCAGCTTTGGTATTATATAATTCTAAAGATTAACTTTTTAATTTTTTGCATCCCTATTTAAGGAGATTGTTTTTCTGAATCACTTTATAAATAATCAACTTTTATCCTACAAATGCATCTTACAGCTGTACAAATAATTCCAACTTAAAATGTTTGTAAAACGTATTGACACTAAAGACAGTAAATATCTAGGATTATTCGAGAGGCCATTGTAATGTCTGAGAAATCAGTCTCACATTTTATAGACAATGTCTGTTGTCTGTGGCAATTGATCGGGTCAGATTTTACACACAACCCAACCTTGATGGGGAAATATTTCCTTATTTCATGATAGAAAAGAATCAAGCATATCAATTTTGAAAAAAAAAAAAAAAAATTGTAAACAAAAAATGATTTCCCTGTGGGAACCCCAACCTGTGCAATTAACATTATTCATTAGACAATTTAATTAGGGCGATGGCAGCAAAGAAAAAGATTGTAAATGGGATTTGTGTGATAACTACCGTGAGTCAAAAGATTCAAACCACCAACAAGACAAAGCTAAAAATCAATACTTTACAATTTATGTCTTTTCAACTTCTTAAATTATTCATGAACATTATACATGTATTTGTATCAAGGAAACTTGCAAGTAACATACAGATGCAAACTAATTGATGCATTGACAAATACATTTTGAGAAATCTAATCATGAGATGAATTAAATTCCTGTTCTCATAACAAATTTTTAGAATTTTATTTTAAATGTGTTAAATAAAATCAGGAACTGTTATATGAGGAGTGATAAACCAAGTTCACATTAAAGACTGGTAACATTAGACCCCCATTAAAACCATGCTACCCCTCTAGATTGCCTCATCCTAGTTAAGTATGGTGAGTAGGTAGGACAATTTATTTTTCATAGATCACTTATTATAAAATGATGAAAATAAAATTAACTTGCAAATTATACATACATAATGGTAATACATATATCATTAAATATAAGTCATTGAAGTGATTGTTGTATTATATTTATTGAATATTGATTTCAAAGCTTTATATATTTACAGTGGATTTGTTGATGTATTTTTTTTTATCAAATTTGTATATCAATAAATTTATTTGAGAAGCCTGCAGCGCTTTAGCAAGTTGGAGAGAGGGAGGGGAACCCAACATTTTCTTTACAACCCTGATCAATGTTTGATAACTGATCCAGATACACTATAGCATCAGTTGCAGCTTGCTATATATACACCAAGCTTTTCATAATGATCCTCTTGAGTTCTCTTTGCAATCTATTTTACATGAAGTCTTTGATCGTTGTACCAACAAACTTCTTTAATTTTCTTTAGATACAATTTGCCTATGCCTTCAATACATGCACATATAATGCCACACCTAAACACTAATGTTAACAATCTTCTTAACACATTCAATATTTGTCCATCGTACATACTGAGTTTACAGAAATATTAAACATTTCAAATTTTAATACAGGATATTGATCCATTGAGTTTAACACACATTATATCAGTATTTAACATTCTATTTCTATAAAAATATACATGTATTTATAGAGCTTTCTTGTAGAATGCTTTCCCTTTTGGAGCCCCTCAACAGCACTATACCTCCTACTTCAATAACACTGGCCATGAATAATAGATGGAATCCAGTAATCAAGCACAGGTTTGCCTTCAGAAGGAGCAGCTCCCCAATGATATATCTACATGAAAATGTACCATAATTCTCTAGCAAACTCACAATCATTTCTCTCAAGAACTTTTTTCCCAAAGAACTAGAGTAAAATAAGCTCATGAGGCATCCCAAGGGATCAGGCTTAGGTAAGAAATTATTTCACATGGCAAAATTTGAGTTAACTCAGGTAACTTGATGTGGGGGACAGCTGTTAATGAAACACATATATTTCTTTGTTTGGCCTATTTGGTATGCTTCAATGCTTAATGCCTAGTAACAAAAGATTTCAGTCCAAACCTGACAGAAACTAACAATTACATTATGTAGTGTAGATGTACAGATGTTTCCATGAATTATTGATTGATTAGTTGATTGTTTAACATACAAATGTACATAAATTTGCTTCAGCCCAATATGTAAGCATAGCAAATTACACATGTATACAAAACAATGGTTTATCTGAACTGTCAATGAAAATGTCCCCCTGTTAAATTACTAGTCATTTCTTATTGTTCTACTCCTAGCGAAGACATTGAAAAAATAATGACCTTGTTACAGATAAAGGATCAATTCACGCATCCAATAAATTATGCTTCAGCATATTTGGTTAATAATTAATTATCTATTAAAAACTTTTTTGCCAATAGACAAACAATTTCAAATGGTCTGTGCAGTTTAAAATCACTTCAAATATCATTTATATATATATATCTAATATTTCCTTCGAATTAGAATAAGTTAAAAATCAATCAATTACAAACCCTAGTCTAAATATATTTCAAATACATGGGGAACACAGCTTGAAAGTTAAAGTTAGTGAGTAGCAGTTGTATAATTATGTACTATAAACCAACACACACATGCTAATTCCAAAGCTGCACAAATATCAGCATATCTGCAATTTTTTCTTAAATTAGATATTGCAGTGAAACAGTATGAACTATCTTACTTATTTCTGATTTTGATCACACTTTGTATTTTGCAATTGATTTTCTTTTTTGTTTTTGTCAAACTACTAAACATTTTAGTTTTTTTACAATTTGTTTTAAGTGACATTAACAAGTGATCCCAGAGGAATCAAGATGGCACCCACCACCAGAGGCCACATAAATACAAACCACAAAGAAGGATCACAAGTCTATATTTTGTAATGAGGCTGGTCTTTCAGAAATCATTTTTTTCAGTTCTTACAAAATTGCTTCATTAGAAAAAGTTAAAAAGACATTTTTGACATATATGACCTTTACCTTTCACTATGTGACCTTGACCTTAAGCATTCCCCATGTAACCTTGATATTATACCACAGAGCACATGGCATGAAACCAAATATTGCTTGATAATATCATTATGTAATGATCACAATTCGGGGATAATTAAACCTACCTCGAAGACCCTGACTATGCATCAAAGTGACATTTTGCGACTTGAACCCAGAGAAAACCTGTGTACAATATTTGAGAATGATCTGTCCATTAATTACAAGAATAATTTATGGAGGACAGACATACCATGGACAAAAGGTAATATAAAAATCAATGATGGACAAAAAGAACACTGATCAGACAGGAGGGCCTTTGGGACCTTGTCATAAAACATCATTTGCATAATACACCTGAGCCAAAATTAGTCTTACTCTATAAAATAATGTTAAAAATAAACTTATTTATGTTTAAAAAAGGATTATGGAAGTAAAGTCATTAAATATATCTATATAATGTATAATATAATACTGAACAAATAACTATTGATAAATATTACCTAATTAATGAATGAGAGATTCAATTATATATATAGGAATATCCATGAACAGTGCCATACTGTGGATTCCTGCCATTTGCACAGCTATGAAAATTGTATTATTCATGTTAAAAATCACAAAAAATATTAATAATTATCATTACTAAATTATTCAAAATAAATTGTATTGCTTAACCTTCCTCAATCTTAAATAATGACCATGTTTAATAAGACGTCATGTTAAATCATAATGTTAATAAAGACATGTTAGGCACACAAGAAAAAAAAATGACAAGAGTTAGCTCCCTTTTTAAAGTTTGGAAATGGATATCAATTTTAACTGATGAGCAATTATGCATTTCAAAAGCAATGTTTTAACATTTTTAAATTCATAGTTGCTTAAACTAATATTTAATTAACAAAGCTAGATTAATTTTAAGGCCAATTAATTAATTTCACAATTAATACCTGAATGTAGACAATTGAACAGCATTTCTATCAGAATCCAGCTGCTCTATATTAGAGTAGCAAAAAAACTTGGATTACACTCATAAAAATGAATTTGAAAACCAGCCTGAATGGTTTATCTTCTTTTTTTTGTACATACATCAAAATGTTATCAAATCTGATAACAATGTAGCAAGATAGAGCGAGATAATGGGAAAAAATGAAAGGCATTTTATATTACAGGAAACCCAAACAATCTGAATATGGGACCTTAAAAAATCTATAAACCTGTACATGCAGCGGCATTTCCATGCCTTCACTGTTTGATAACACCATACATATATATGTAATAGGACGCGGAATAGTGATAAAGATAGTGCCGTCGCTGGGGCTCGAACCTGCAACCCTTGGCTCTCCAGCCTGATGCTCTATCACTGAGCTAAAGGGAAATTCCCATCAGCTGACTCTTGTAAAGGAACCTAATCAATGCACATCTTTTACACTATTCCCCCCTTTTTTCTAACACCAACCCAGGTTCTTTGATGACCGCAACAATTAAGGGTTCTCCTACCTGGAACGGGGAGGGTCAACAACACCAATTTGTAATAGGACGAGGAATAGTGATAAAGATAGTGCCGTCGCTGGGGCTTGAACGTGTGACCCTTGGCTCTCCAGCCCTATGCTCTACCAATGAGCTAAAGGGAATAAAATTCCCTACAGCTGATGCTTGTAAGGCAACCTAATCAATTAATATTAATTTTACTGATCGTTGGTAACCAAAATACCATTATAACATAAATCACAGGAGCCACAGGTAGTAGCCTCGCTGTTAATACACCCATAATATATAAAGGCATGGTTAATTAGTACCTGTGCTGGATCCTGCAGTTGTAAAGATACCTGCAGCTAGGCTTGGTAATATACATACCTGTTTACATTCTGCATACGACGGAATGAATCTGTCTGTGTGTATTGAGAAATTGCAGCAGCAATTTGGATAAATACTGAAACGGAAACCATTGATGATGACAATCCTTTGTAACAACGCACCTGTCACTCCACGTGCGGATTCGCCGTTCCCGCAAATAAAATTGAATCGGATTTTTATTGATTTCTTTTCAAAAGAACTGCAAACCTTTCATCTAGGTCTTTAGAATGTTACGTCCGTTTGGGCTCAACTAGGTTTCAAGCGTCTCGCTGAGTTTAAAGGTAAACAATAAACATTGGCGGGTCAAGGCCAGGTCAGAGAAGTTTTGCAACAAGATCTGTAGACCAATAAACAGATAAACACCTGTCTATAGATGAAAACAGGTAAAAACTTATCTCCATATGTCTAAGAAAACTCTCACCGTAATCAAATTAATCATGAATGAAGTAACTGACTTTCCGATCTTTGCAACCTTTTTTTTAAACGCGTAGTCACGTTAATTAGTTGACNGGTTTCCTGAAGCCCAAAAAACCCCTCTGGATCCGCCACTGCTAAAGAAATGTTTTTGGACAATGTGTAATCGCACTTAAGCACTTTTGATCTGCTTAGTTGCTATAAGAAACAAGCATCTTCAACATTAAGTGTACAATGAAATGCGTATTCTAAGTAAATGAAATTCATATAATATATTTATACCTGTACTTCAGTACAGTTCTTTATAAAGATGTGTTACCAAATAAATGTACTTCATTTACCAGATATTAAAAGTACATAAAATGTGTCTTTTGTATTACTAATAAACATAATATGGTTCTGCTTGACAAGCTTAAGTACCTTTGATGGACACAGTTAAGCCACAAATGGTGTAAAATTGATGGTTATGATCAGGGATGTGTAGTGGACCACGTAACACATCCCTGTTATGATATACTCCGAAGGTAAATTGTGCATATACACTGATATTTTATTTCTTTTCAAATTTTGCTATCATTAAGGGTAGTGCATAGGGATGCACTGGTAAAACAAATTACTCAGAGGTTCAAAAATATTTTAAACTGTTAATATATTTCAGAGATTAATGTGCAGTCGGATTTCTATAATTAGGTATTAAAAGTACAGGAATTCAAGTCCCTGCAGCACAGCATAAACTTTCAGCTTTGAAATGATTCCACAGATCTGTAAATGCAAAGGATTTTGATAAGTACATGTTGTACTTCATTTCAACCCAATTCTTTCCTAGGGCAATATAGTGTATATTATATACATTTAAAAGTGTATGAGGGGGGGTCTTTAAGAAAATTTATTAATGATGATGACATTTACTGAAGATGAAACCACTAGAGAAGTGCTGTTGACCCTGTCACATTATATTCCAACAATCAGCGGATTAAGACCTGCCATAAGGGAGGAAAAAAGTAGTAATATACAGGGATACCTGACATGTAAATAAAGAAAAGAAAATATATCAAGGATTGCAATATATTTATGTACAGATGCTTTTAATTTTCATACATGATGTATATATATATATATGTACCCTATAGCTATAGGTACATCTGTAAAATGTGCCTGATGAATAATTGCTTATTTTTTTTTAGTTTTTTTATTTATTTTAAACTGTAATTTTTTCAGTGTAATAAACAAATCAACTTCTTTTTTTCTTCTTCAGATCTTGTGTGACCTGGCTGCGACAGATGAAAGTGAGATAGATATCTATACAGGATGGGATATATCTGGCACACACATGTGTCCCTTCTCATCTTATTAGTAGTCACATCATCTCCTTCCCAAGTAAACAGTGATTCAACATTCAATGATCGGTTCGAGTATAGTCAAATACTGTCACGAGTGGCCGCCGCCCATCTGGCGCAGGAAGGTGTGGTCAAAGAACATATGGTCAAGATGGCTGGATGGGACCAGACATTGAGTACTGGAAAGGGGACATTTCTGGACCAGGGAGGTGCCATACTGGCCTGGGCCAAGAGAAATGATACAGTGTCTGAAGGGTGTACTAATGCAATTGGTCTTCTAATGAATGCCTTGGTGGCTCAGGAACTCTGGGCAGTAGAATGTGAGTAAATATTTTATAATCATCCTTAAAAACAAACTTTATTGGCTTAAATGTAATGTAATGAGTTATATTATAGGTTTGTTTCAAGTTAAATAGTTAAATGATTTTTTTAAACTCACATTTTCTTTTCTTTTTTTACATACAGTGTTATACTGTACACACAAAATAAATACACATTGCAATTGAGACATGTATCCTACAATTTTACCTTTCACATTTTTTAACTGAATTGACCAGTTCTGGACGCAGTTGGTAAACCAGCAAGTGGAATACTGCAGTTTGACTTGGTATGGCCTGGTCAGTATGACCAGTGTGTCAACATCTCTGCCAGGGTCAACGACACTGACCACAACAAAATGGTGGATGTTATGGGAAAGTATTACCGGCTTGAGATCAGATTACCTATGAAACTGCCACCAATCATATTCGTGGAGACGGTAGGTCACTCTCTAGATACGGAGAAAAATACCTGCATGTATATTGTTGTTTTTGACTTCTCTATATAATTACCTGCTACTGCACTTATCATTTCGTAAACTTTCAACATAATAGCGCTTGCCAATTTTTTCTAAACATTTTCTAAGCAAGGGCTTTCTGTTTTGAATTTACTAAACAGTTATATCTGAGTTTGGATAGGTGCACAATGTTTAATTATACATGGTCCAATCGATTTCCTTTAATCATCAATGATTCAGTAATTGAATTAATTTGAAAACAAAAACATTGTGTGATTTATATTTATATAAGTAGTATAATAAGTAAAAGACAATCTACACTTTTGTATTCCCCCACCTGTAAACTCATTTAATTTACCAGACAATTGTTTCTGATTTTGGATAGGTGCACAATATTGATGGTCTAACACATTTACTTTAATTATCAATACTTTAAACAAAAGAATTGGGTTTTATTGAACTGGTAATTAAATCAATTTTTGTAAAAAGAAGACAATCTACACTTGTGTATGCCCACACCTGTAAACTGATTTAAGATCCTATATTTTGGTTTCCAGCCACTTTTAGCTATCTACTTGAAGGACCTTACATACGGAATATGTGTGCCTTCCCAGTGTAGTAAGAGTGATGTCATCAGTGTTTCTGCTGCAGGTATGTAATAGGATGTATAATATAGGTAATAGGATGTGTAATATAGGTTATAGGATTATAATATAGGTAATAGGATGTATGATATATAGGTAAAAGGATGTATAATATAGATTATAGGATGTATGATATATAGGTAAAAGGATGTATAATATAGGTAATAGGATTATAATATAGGTAATAGGATGTATGATATATAGGTAATAGGATGTATAATATATAGGTAATAGGATGTATAATATAGGTAATAGGATGTATAATATAGGTAATAGGATGTATAATATAGGTAAAAGGATGTATAATATAGGTAAAAGGATATATAATATAGGTAATAGAATGTATAATATAGGTTATAGGATTATAATATAGGTAATAGGATGTAAATATAGGTAAAAGGATGTATAATATAGGTAATAGGATATATAATATAGGAAATAGGATGTATAATATAGGTAATAGGATGTATAATATAGGTAATAGGATGGTGGGTTTTCCTTCTATGGTACATGTACATGTATTACAAGTTGTTAAAGGTTTCATATTATGGCTACTATGAACAGTACAATTTCTTCTTACCAATTTTGCCTTCTGACCTTTCAGAATATGTATACCTCCAGAGTTGAATACACTTACAGTGAACCACTACACATATTACTATGTTTATTAGGTCACCTGAGCTTTGCTCAAGTGACCTATTCTAATCGCTTTTCGTCCGTCGTGCGTAAACTTTTTACATTTTCAACCTCTTCTCAAGAACCAGCGGATTGATTTTCTTCAAACATGGTCAGAATCATCCTTGGTACATGTAGATGAGGCTATCAAATTGTAAAACTGGGATTCCTACCCCAACCCCTGGGGCCAGGGCGGGGCCCCAAAGGGAAAATCATTTTCTCTGCATGGAAAGAAAGATCATCAGGGGCTTTATTTAAATTATAAATTTCAGGACCCCCCAGCTATTCGTTCTCCCTTGGGGAAGGAGTAAAGTTTACTATAGTTTATATAGGGAAAGAACACTTTTGGGTATATTTTGACAACTTTCTGTAGGAAATTATTTTGACTTGGTGAGAGTTATCCTTGGAGGAAGATGGTTTCTAATTGTAAAATTGAGATTCCTACCCCAACCCCTGGGGCCAGGGCGGGGCCCCAAAGGGAAAATTTACCAATATTTAAAAAATCTTCTTCTCTAGACTCAGAGGTACTACAGTCGTTTTCTCTGCATGGAAAGAAAGATCATAAGGGGCTTTACTTAAATTGTAAATTTCAGGACCCCGAGCTATCCGTTCTTGCTTGGGGAGGGGGTAAAATTTACCATAGTTTATATAGGGAAATAACACTTTTGGGTATATTTTGACAACTTTCTGTAGGAAATTATTTTTACTTGGTAAGAATTATCCGTGGAGGAAGATGGTTTCAAATTGTAAAATTGAAATTCCTACACAAACCCTAGGGGCCAGGGCAGGGCCCCAAAGGGAAAATTAACCAATATTTCCAAAGTTTTCTCCTCCAGACTCAGAGGTACTACAGTCATTTTCTCTGCATGGAAAGAAAATCATCAGGGGCTTTACTTAAATTGTAAATTTCAGGACCCACGAGCTATCCGTTCTCCTTTGGTGAGGGGGTAAAGTTTACTATATAGTTTATATAGAGAAATAACACTTTTGGGTATATTTTATTCATTTTCAGCAGAAAATTACTCAAACTTAGTCAGATTCATCTTTGGTGAATGAGAGTATTACTTTGTAAAATTGGGATTCCTGCCCCATCCCTAGGATCTAGGGCGGGGCCTCAAAGGGAACATTTACCAATATTTTCAAATTCTTATCCTTTGATTACATGGCAAGTATTGTATTTCACTTACATTACATGCTGATTTCCACATCACATCTAAACAATAAAATAAAGCTACCAGTAACTATAATATAACTCAGGTGACCGCAAAGGCCCTTGCATTGGGCCTCTTGTTATTTTTAGGTAACCAAAAGGCCTAGGAAGATGATATTTGGCCAGTAGCATGCTTGGATCAAGGGCTACCAAGTTTGTTCAAATAAATGATCTTGACCCACTTTCAAGGTCACAGGGGTCAAATATGTTAAAATCTCCAAACAACTTCTTCTCGATAACCAAAAGGCCCAGGGTACTGATATTGGGCCTGTAGCATGCTGGGATGAAGGGCTACCAAGTTTGTTCAAATGAATGACCTTGACCCACTTTCAAGGTCACTGGGGTCAGGTGTCTTATCTCTTCAAACAACTTCTTCTCAATAACCAAATGGCCCAGGGTACTGATATTTGGCCTGTAGCATACTGGGATAAAGGGCTACCAATTTTGTTCAAATAAATGACCTTGACCCACTTTCAAGGTCATTGGGGTCAGATGTCTTTAAAATCTTCAAACAACTTCTTCTCAATAACCAAAAGGCCCAGGGTACTGATATTGGGCCTGTAGCATGCTGGGATGAAGGACTATCAAGTTTGTTCAACTGAATGACCTTGACCAACTTTCAAGGTCACAGGGGTCAAATGTCGTAAAATCTTCAAGCGACTTCTTTTCAATAAGCAAAAGGGCCAGGGTACTGAAATTGGGCCTGTAGCATGCTGGGATGAAGGATTACCATGTTAGTTCAAATGAATGACCTTGATCCACTTTCAACCTAATGTCCTTGTTCGACAATCAAGGTCAGAGGCGTCATATGTTTAAATCTTTTAATAGGTTCTTATGAAATATTAAGATTACAAGTGTTAGATTAATAACAGGTTAGAGATGCAGGCCCATTTGGCCTCTTGTTATTATCTTTTAATCATATATTGGGTAATTCTTAGATATGTTAACTCATTACATTTACAGATGCAAATAAGCGTAATCATTTCATTTCTGAATGAGAACATCAATTATTTGTTCATGGAGTTCGTACACTTTCGTTATCAGTGCACATATTGTAAGCAATTTATCCATTATGAATGTATTGAAGTTTTCTCAGGGCTAAATGTTAGTGAGTTCCTCAGGAAAAGTTACGGTGAGTAACTCAGGACAAAGTATTTGTGGGTTCTTTAGGATGAGAGCTTTAGTTTTAGGACAAAGTATAGGGGAATTCCTCAGGAAGTGAGTTCCTCGGGACAATCTATTAGTAAGTTTGAAATGACAACATTTGAAATTCCAGCTAATGCTGCACTGAGTCCATTCCTACCAGACGCACTAAAGAATGCAACTATCCAAGGAATAGACGCCCCGCACCCAGCAGTGTTTGAAGCCCGCCCGGAGACAATCGCTGCTCTGTAAGATGACATTATACGTTAATCTCTCATCCAGCAAGATTAATAGTCTCGTCTGGAATCTCTACATCAAAGGCCTAATCGCACCCATAGCCTCTGTCAGCTCTGTTATTTCTGTCGAAGATTGAAATGTTACATCATCGCCATACAATTTCATAAAAAAGTATGGTGAATATTTAGTGAGTTTGACGCTTGAATTTAACAATGAGAGATTTGTTTGAGAATGAAATAACTTTTTTCAGTTGTTGTTTAAAGAGTCAAGATATAAACTTGTCCATTAATTTTCATCACTAGTTTCACTTTTTAAAACCATTTTAAACATCACTTTAGTACTATAACCATCTGGTATGTTTTTAACATTATTATAATACTGGTAAGATATTAATCTAATCTGTTTAATTCTGGCGATGGATAACTCCCTTGATAATCAAAATGACGTATGTATTTTTTCAAATTGATCCTCCATAATAGTCCATTGTTACTTAATCAATAATCCTCACAATCCAAATTCACAAAGTTTCTGATGATAAAATTAATGCAGACTAACTACATTATAACATGAAAACCATGTATATTGGTAACATTGATATCTGTATCTACAAGTTTGTGCTTTTATTTCTCTCTCATGTCGATTAATTGTCATGTCGTCATTAGTAGAAGTCAGTAATTATACCAGTCTGTGTATATATATATACCATATGCTGTGTAATGTATATGTCATTATGATCCAGTGTCCTCGGTTCCATCCTGGCATTTTTCCTGGTGATAGGAACGTTGTATGACCTCTTGATCCACCAACCGTCCCTAAAAGAAGATGCTAGCCTGTCAACAGTAACAGAGCAAAGGTCACAGGTCAATACTAACCCCCAGGACCTCAACGCGACCCTGATCAGTTACTCGGACAGCACAGAGTCTGAGCTTCTCAGTGATGGTAAAGGGATCATTACAGTTACCATCAGACACAAATTCAGGAGTTATGGTAAGACGATTATGTATTCTCTTATCAGTGTCCTTCCCCTTCAAATAATGCAGTGAAACTTAAAATACATCTGGGCCCATACTCATGAAACAATGTTTTTATAAATAAGGACCCAGGACTTAATATTTGGTTAGATAATGTGCTGATAAAGCTAGGATAAACGGTATAGAAACTAGTGTTTTGGTAGAGGGTTGAGAATGTATACAACCCTGATGGATATAGCAATACTCAGAAATGATGTATTCCAGGAGTTTGTTTGTTTCAGGAGTCTTATGTAATACACTATACATCTGGTACAATGTCTTGTTGTGTTGAACACAAAATGTTGTTTCAACTATTATATATCAGTCAAGTCAGGTGTCAGTAAAACCAGGTTTCACTGTATCAAAATTAAAATAATGAAAATTAATAAAAAGATTTATTGATACCTGAAAATAGAAATGTACATGGACCACATGAAGCTGAATATAACATCTGAACTACAGTATATGTGCTAGACATAAAACTTGTCTTTTTATGCTTCATATTGTTCTTGTCAAATTTGAAACATTGATAATAGGTATTTTAGTTAGTTGTGCTCATTGGTACTGTATGACATTAAATAGGATTTAAAATATTGTACTGTAGTAGTTTAAATGTTCATAATTCAGAGAGTTTGGAATAATAACGTCATATTCAGCTAGCTTTATGGGTTTTAAAGTCATATTATTGTTGTTGGATCTGTGAATAGACGTTATTTACAAATAATTACTTGACAAGATACCAAAAAATGACCAGAAAAACAAGAAAGTACATCAAGACTAGTAAGAAGATTGTTCAATCAAGACAGAGTTGGATTTTATCTGATTGAAAAGAAAAAAAAATATCACAGGAACATTAGAAAATGATTGATAAACCATGAATTTGACGATTTGGAGGCACTTTTAGTACTCTCTGGAGATCTTACTTGCGGGGTAAATTTCATGCATGAAAGATATGAGGACAGAGAAGTTTCTTTTCCAGCAGATTTAGCTAAAATATTACAAATTATATAGAAAGATAAGTGCTATATAGTATGTCTTCCATTTTAGATAAGATAAGGTTTAATCTGATAAATATCAATTTTTTAATGCCTCCTCAGCGACCTTGGGGAAGTTCCTGATGGGGTTTTCCATGTACACCAATGGCTACAAGATACTAGGTACAGAGACGAATCCAAGTCAGATCAAGGCGGTCAACGGCATCCGTGTACTCAGTCTCAGCTGGGTCATCTTAGGCCACACCTACTATTTCACTGTGTCCCTGTCCAGTAAGTATGTGTGATCTCAGTCTGGGTCAGTCGAGCCCAAACCTACTATTTCACTGTGTCCCTGTCCAGTAAGTATCTGTGATCTCAGTCTGGGTTATCTTAGGCCACACCTAATATTTCACTGTGTCCCTGTCCAGTAAGTATGTTTGTACTCAGTCTGGGTCATCTTAGGCCACACCTACTATTTCCCTGTGTCCCTGTCCAGTAAGTATGTGTGATCTCAGTCTGGATCAGTCGAGGCCAAACCTACTATTTCCCTGTGTCCCTGTCCAGTAAGTATGTGTGATCTCAGTCTGGGTCAGTCGAGGCCAAACCTACTATTTCACTGGGTCCCTGTCCAGTAAGTATGTGTGATCTCAGTCTGGGTCAGTCGAGGCCAAACCTACTATTTCACTGGGTCCCTGTCCAGTAAGTATGTGTGATCTCAGTCTGGATCAGTCGAGGCCAAACCTACTATTTCCCTGTGTCCCTGTCCAGTAAGTATGTGTGATCTCAGTCTGGGTCAGTCGAGCCCAAACCTACTATTTCACTGTGTCCCTGTCCAGTAAGTATGTGTGATCTCAGTCTGGGTCAGTCGAGGCCAAACCTACTATTTCACTGTGTCCCTGTCCAGTAAGTATGTTTGTACTCAGTCTGGGTCATCCAAGGCCACACCTACAAAATGTAGCTACTATTTCAAAGTGTTCCTGTTCAGTACGTATCTGTGTATTCAGTATGGGTTATCCGAGGCAAAAAAAAACACCTGTTTCTATGTACTTAGTCTGGGCCATCCGAGGCTACTAAGACTATTTCTGACCAGTAAGTATCTGTGATTTCAGTCTGGGTCATGTTAGGTCTATCATTTCTCTGTTAGTTTGTCCACAAAGTACCTGTATATTCAGTCTTGGTCATCTTAGCTACAATGGTCCGTAGGCCACACTTTCTGTTAATCAGTGTCTTTCCAGTAAGTATCTGTGAACTTAGCCTGGATAATTCTAGGCCACACCTACTATTTCTCTGTTTATCTTTCCAGTTCATATCTGTGTACTCGTTCTGGACCATCTTTGTTCAATTTGGGTATTAATATTCTCATAAATTCTCTCTATATCAATACCAAATACCATAGATACCATATTATATAAATAATTGTGAGGATTGTTTTACAATTCTATGCTGAGCATGACATATATTTTCAATGTTCAAAATTTGATTTCTTTGATAAGAAAAGGTACTTGAAATAACTACATGTATTTTAACAATGGTGAATGAATAGGTGTATGTACTGACCATTTGATTTGCTTTAAGCAAAGATACAAATTGTGTTCTTGTACATTTGAGTCATGAAATATTAAAAAGAACGTTCCAAGGGAAACTACTTAATAAAAATTGGTTTCTAACCATAATCTTACAGCTTTCTGTAATACAAAGGGCCTTACAAATGGGTTTTAAACACATGCATGACTATGTCTGTTTACAGAAAACCTGGTGGTTGCGACAGATTGGGCTTCTCGATGGACATTCCAGGCCGTCCTCAGTGCCCTCTTCTCTGTTGACTCATTCTTCCTGCTCAGGTATGTCACTAAAATACATCTTAATAATTCTCATCACAAAGTGGTTATAAAAAAGAAATGTTTCTGTTGTTTGATCAGAAAGGGTATATCTGTTGTTTGATCAGAAAGGGAATATCTGTTGTCTGATCAGAAAGGGAATATCTGTTGTTGGTATTACCATCATCAAGAGTGACTTGGTCATTTGGTAAAATATGTAAAAATATGTCGTTGATATTTCAGAATTTAAAACAGAGAAAACTTTGGGGCCCTGAACTCATGCCAGATATTATAGGACATTTTACATAGGTATAATTCTATTATCTTCACAATTCTAGGGCTAAGCCTCACTTTTGTTCTACGTGTCACTTCACTATGTCATGTTGAAATTACACAAATTACTGTTCCTTATACATCAATTCTGTCAACAGTATATATCAATGAAACCAGTGTGATATTATGTACAATTACCCGATATTTCAGTGGTATGTTGGTCTCTTTCCTGACTCTGAAAGAAATGCAGAAGAAAAACGGCAAGATAAACTGGCTTATGTACTACTTTCACCGATTCTGGAGGTAAGGAAGACTCATGCACCAATACACTGTGGAAAATATCAGAAGATACATACAAAAATTTATAAATATACTACAAAAGTTAGTGGAGTCTTATTTGTTTTGTTACTTTGCATTGATTACTTATTTATTCTGATGAATGAGAACTGAAATAAAACATGGGAGTTATACCTGTCTGCCATGCTTTCAAGAACTTTTGTTTTTAAAAAGGGGTACCTGGTATTCTATATACATTTACAAAAGAAAGTCATAAAACTGACCCAGATACAAACAGGAATAGAATAACGACTGTGTATATAGTCCTGTTTAGATTAATTTTGACTTGATCTCTATACACGCCCTTACATACATGTAATAAATAGCTGTTGACATTTCGAAACAACACCAGCTTGTATATTGGTATATGTATGTAGTTAGTTGTATTAACATTATTTGTTTGACATTTCAGACTGACACCAGCCTACATGCTGGTCCTTGTGACATATATTGGTATATGTATGTAGTTAGTTGTATTAACATTATTAGTTGGACATTTCAGACTGACGCCAGCCTACATTCTGGTTTTTGTGACATATATTGGTATTTGTATGTAGTTGTATTAACATTATCTGTTTGACATTTCAGACTGACACCAGCCTACATGCTGGTCCTTGTGACATATATTGGTATTTGTATGTAGTTGTATTAACATTATTAGTTGGACATTTCAGACTGACGCCAGCCTACATTCTGGTTTTTGTGACATATATTGGTATTTGTATGTAGTTGTATTAACATTATCTGTTTGACATTTCAGACTGACACCAGCCTACATGCTGGTCCTTGTGACATATATTGGTATTTGTATGTAGTTGTATTAACATTATTAGTTGGACATTTCAGACTGACGCCAGCCTACATTCTGGTTTTTGTGACATATATTGGTATTTGTATGTAGTTGTATTAACATTATCTGTTTGACATTTCAGACTGACACCAGCCTACATGCTGGTCCTTGTGACATATATTGGTATTTGTATGTAGTTGTATTAACATTATCTGTTTGACATTTCAGACTGACGCCAGCCTACATGCTGGTCCTTGTGACATATATTGGTATTTGTATGTAGTTGTATTAACATTATTAGTTTGACATTTCAGACTGACACCAGCCTACATGCTGGTCCTTATGTCATATATTGGTATTTGTATGTAGTTGTATTAACATTATCTGTTTGACATTTCAGACTGACACCAGCCTACATGCAGGTCCTTATGTCATATATTGGTATTTGTATGTAGTTGTATTAACATTATCTGTTTGACATTTCAGACTGACGCCAGCCTACATGCTGGTTATTGTGTCATATATTGGTATTTGTATGTAGTTGTATTAACATTATTAGTTTGATATTTCAGACTGACGCCATCCTACATGCTGGTTCTTGTGACATATATTGGTATTTGTATGTAGTTGTATTAACATTATTAGTTTGACATTTCAGACTGACACCAGCCTACATGCTGGTCCTTGTGACATATATTGGTATATGTATGTAGTTAGTATTATTAACATTATTAGTTGGACATTTCAGACTGACGCCAGCCTACATTCTGGTTTTTGTGTCATATATTGGTATTTGTATGTAGTTGTATTAAATTATCTGTTTGACATTTCAGACTGACACCAGCCTACATGCTGGTCCTTGTGACATATATTGGTATATGTATGTAGTTAGTATTATTAACATTATTAGTTGGACATTTCAGACTGACGCCAGCCTACATTCTGGTTTTTGTGTCATATATTGGTATTTGTATGTAGTTGTATTAACATTATCTGTTTGACATTTCAGACTGACGACAGCCTACATGCTGGTTATTGTGTCATATATTGGGATTTGTATGTAGTTGTATTAACATTATTAGTTGGACATTTCAGCCCGACGCCAGCCTACATGCTGGTTCTTGTGACATATATTGGCCTGTTCCACTACTGGGGTGATGGACCCTTCTGGCCACAGCATGCTCCTGGTTACGACGTCTGTATCAAATATTGGTGGAGAAATCTACTCTACATACAGAACTTCTTTCCTGTCACAGAGCAGGTTAGAACAATTATTGATTTTGTACTTGGTAAAGAAAGCTAGGAGTGAGGACTATTTAGAATACATTGTATATATCAAAATGTTTGCAACATACGTTTAACTAACTTTATTACACCTCTACTTTATTTACTTTATATAAAAGTAATTGGTTAACTCGTATATATCCCCACTTTTGCCTGAGTGTGTTTTAGTCCTGTGTGTAAGTCTGTGAACTAAAACACACCTACACTCGGGTGTTTCCGCCGAGCCAATCAGGCGAGAGGTGGGCGGAGCTTGTTACCGAACTCGGCAGTGACGCACGAGGTGGGCTAAACAGCTTATGGTTTACAAATATTTTCAAGTTAAAACTATCTCTGCAGTGTGTATCGGTATAATAAAATGGTTAACGTATGGGGTTGCTGCTGAACTCGTAAGCATTTGGCTCCATTGCCATCAAAAGGGTATTTGGGACGTGAAGCTATACAGCTTATGGTTTACAAATATTTTCTAGTTAAAACTATCTCTCCAGTGTGTATCGGTATAATAAAACAGTTAAAGTATGGGGTTGAGGCATATATAGCAAGTTTCTGGTGTCCCTTGACCATGCCTATTTCCCTCGGCTTTGCCTCGGGAAATAGACCTGGTCTCGGGACACCAGAAACTTGCTATATCCCTCAACCCCATACTCTAACTGTATAAAAATATCTGTCAGGATCTACACTGTCCCTCAGACAATCTGTCTATTTTTGCCTTCTAGGGCCAATCACTTTCCAAAGGTCATGATCATGACAGGGGGTGAAAGGTTAAATGCTTGTCCAGACACTTTTGATCAGCACAACATTTTGTTTTAGTTTGATGATTCGATGGCATGTCACTTAATACTCACAGGTCAAAGTCAGGGTCAGGGGTCAGAGGTAAAATGCTTGTCTCGACTGTGACTTCTGATGAGCACAATATTTCATTTTGGAACTTTATAGATGTGATACAAGTCGGAAACTATAATATTGAATCATGTTACTGATTTTAGCCAATCACAATATAAGATCAGGGTTAGAAATTAATTTTGAATGCCACTAGTCTATTGGGGTAGTAGCTTCCATCGTTGCTATTCCATGTGATAATTTCACTAACCCAGTATTAGTCAACAAGATAAGCAATATTAAATTTTGACTAGTCAATCGGGCTAGCGGTTTTAAGAACCACTAATCCAGTTGGTAATGCCAGTTTTGTTTGAGAGATTCAGAGATATGACCTGTATCAATAAATTGGTAACACATTTTTGTTTGCTGCAGTGTATTGGATGGTCGTGGTACCTGGCCAATGACATGCAGTTCTTCATCATCACCCCGCTTATCCTGATCCCCCTGTACAGGTATGATCTCCCCTTACTCACCTGATGTTAAGATTACCACACACGTCACCTGATTTACGCATTAGCAATACAGATTTTATATAAGTGGATGGGTCCCAGATTAGTTGTACATATATTTGACACACATTGTTTAGATAATCTCTGTAGGTACAGGACTAACAGCTGTGTGTTACAGGAAGCCGTTAATTGGGTATATCATCATTGGTGTACTTATGATGGAACAGTTCCTGTTTCGGGGACTCATCTCTGTGTATTATGGATTCAAGATGAATATTCCAGATCCACAGTAAGTACCTCCAGATCGTCTGGTATTAATCTCCTATATAATGTATACATTTGTATCAATGCTGTCTCCATTACAAGCTGTTCATGTATGTTTTAATATATAAATTTTAGTACTTTTGAAAGTGTACAGGATGAAAGATTCCTTTTTATTTGACAATGTTTTCAATAGTAGTCGTAGACTAATGGTATGACGTCAACAATGGTGAGTAATGTTATAAATGCATACTTTCATGAAACATGTGTCCTATCAATTTTAAATGTGAAAAAATATTTTTTCTTTTTAAGAATATTTATTGTATTATGTAATTTTTTTCTGAATGCATACAACTCACATATTCAAATGCTTTGCAAATGTTTGCACTTTTGTGAAGAAATAACCCCAATAGTAGAGAACTGTATTGAAGCCGAATCATCAGTGTTATCTACCTGTATCTTATGGATGGCTTTATGAAGAGAGATAACACTGTAATTTTATAAGATTGTACTATGAGGTTTAAACTTGTATTAAAGAGGTTTAATTGAAATTCATGGAATTCAACACAATTTAGAATAACCATTTCTGCATTTAGATATTTGTATTAAAGATTGAGCATCTTAATTTCGCTTTTTTTATGTTCCACACTTTGAAATAACATGAAATAAATTAAGTATTCTCTTTTGAAGGCACCAATTGGATTGGTTCAATGAAATGTACCAGAGACCTTACTCCCGTATCAGCCCCTACCTGATAGGTATCTTAACGGGATACATTCTATGGAAGACAGATAGAAAGGTTCACATGTCTAAGGTAAGTCCTGTGTTCAAATAAACATTTGAATTAAAACAGTTGATGAAATAGAGTAGAAAATGTAATGGTAAACAGCTGTGATATCTTGACCTTTGGTCTGTTACAGCTCACTGTTCTGATTGGCTGGGCACTGTCCTTGACCTGTGTGACCTCGGTTGTGTATGGAACACTTGAAGAGAACAAAGGTCACCTCAACTCCCTACAAGTGGATGGCGTGTACAACGCCATCTGTAAAACTGTTTGGAGCCTCGGTCTGGCCTGGATCCTCTTTGCCTGTAACACTGGATATGGAGGTATGGCTAGTTAAGGGTACATACATGTGTTAGGAGGTCTAGGAGTGTATAGAAAGTTTAGGTCTGCATATTAAATAAGATTGAATAATAAAGAATGTGGATGAATTGAATAATTCCTTTTCTTAAATGATCTATATATAAAATGGGGATGAAATATCCTCTGTGGACACTAAATAAATACTTATAAGATTGGAATAAACACATTATATGTAAGCAATTGGTGTGGACCTAATAAGGCAAATGATTTTTTACCGGACTACTCCTTAAGTAAGATTTTTCTTTTTTCAGACTTTTATTTTATGTCCAGTTTAAGTATATATCATCGTGGGATCTAGGGAATTTAATGTTGTTAAATAAAGGCACCCCAGGGGAAGGACAGGGGCTAAAAGGTTCTCAGCTTTTACCTTGCCTCCAGGTGACCAGCCGTTCTGTATTTCCAAAACCACACACTTTTCTTTTTCATTAATTGAATAAATTTAAGTGATATAAATAACATGAAAGGTGATAGTTTAGATAGATGCAGCTGCTTTTTATGGGGCCAAAATACACATCAGAAACTTTAAGTTATTCTGGCAATTATGTTAAGAATTTTGGACAGAATGTTCTTAGTAATTGATATGGGTCCAAAAATAAAAGGTAAGTGATACAGGCCCCTTAGGCCTTTTGTTATAGGTATAACATCTTGTCAGTGAATGCATATCAAATGTAAATATATATTTTTGAAGGTATTGTTACGGAGTTTCTTTCATCGGGACTGTGGGGACCGTTTGGCAGACTGAACTACTGTGCCTATTTAGTACATCCCATAATGATGTATGCCTACATCTTGAACCAGCGCTACCCTGTCTACCTCACAGACATCAACATGGTAAGTTTCTGCCTCTCACCTTACAGGTATATATGTGTCTTCTCCTACCTCTCCTTAATCACCCTTCTCATATACTTTATGTAATAATTCGTGCAGCATTTTTCCAGTTGTAAATCTAAAATGAATGACCACTTCATATAATCTATAGAGCAGGCTTTAATACATTTTCTTGAACTGTTGACAATATCTTTGTGAAATGAATTTCATCTTGAGGACATTGGTTCAGTAACCTTTCATTCAGATTTAAATCCCAGATTAATCACTATGGTAAGGTTTTTATTTCATGTTTTGAATCTTATTTTAACCCTTTCACCACTGTAGATCATAATGGACTCATCTAGATCAATGCATGGTAGAGTCTACTAAAGTTACATAGGGGTGAAAGGGTTAATCAGATTGGAAACTTATGATTTTATGTGGTAGTTGTCTCCCCTTAACTATAGCTGTATTGAGATGAGTGTTCTGTATACGTAGTACTCACTGGAATTAATGGCTAAGGTGGATCTGAATGCAAATTGAACCATGCTACAAACAGATAATTATGCTTTTATGTTTCCCCAGCATAAAAATCCTTCAAGCTGACAGCAAGCTGTTTTACAAAATGTGTGGCTTTTCACAAACCACCTATGGAAAGAAAGATAGTTTTAGTAGGTTCACCTCTGTTTGGTAAAGGCAGCTTGGAATAACTGACTCATGTAAAAGAAATATCTCTTCAGCTTATTCAGTACAGTGGCCAGACTAGTAATCTGTGGTCCTGCGTCCATATCCTAGCAGGAGGTACTTGAATAATGACTTCATGCAGTTACATTGTCACCCAGTGGGGACAAGGTTACCATTTACAATAACCTCCTAAACTTTTCTCCCACACAAGCATGATTGTTATTTGAAAGATTCCAGAATGAGTATTCCAGGAGGGGAGTATGTCACACTGGTAGCGGTGTATTACTGACTCAGAGGGATTTCTCCTTTAGCTCTATTGGTGGAACACAGGACTAGATATCTGTACTCCCAGGTTAGATCCTAGCAGAGGCACAAGACAATTACCTCGGTTATATGCATATATACATGTTCCAGGGCCACTCATACTGCATCGATCCTTGCAAAGATACAATAAAGTTAATCTTCTGTACACCTTTCTCTGTTGTCCAGGTATACATGTTCCAGGGCCACTCATAATGCATTGATCCTTGCAAAGAATAGGGTTAATCTTCAGCATACTTTTGTTTGCTCTGTTGTCCAGGTATACATGTTCCAGGGCCACTCATAATGCATCGATCCTTGCAAAGATACAATAAAGTTATTCTTCTGTTCACCTTTCTCTGTTGTCCAGGTATACATGTTCCTGGGCCACTGGATGATGTCATATCTCCTGGCATTTGTCGCCTCCCTTGCATTTGAAGCTCCGATGATTGGATTAGAAAAGGTTCTACTACAAAGAGAAAAACGTCATTGAATCATCTGGAGAGAAAAGGTTGGAAAAGCTTTGAAGGAAAACATTAAGGTGATGTACTGGTTTCACCGGGCGCCGATCTATCACTGATAGTAACATAGAAGATATGACAAGGATGTTAATTGGTTTGTAGGTATACACTTTATACAACCTTTAAATTGTATCACAATGTGTTACATGTATTTTTTAATTGGCAAAACAAATGACTGTGGAACTCTGGGTAGAACAAGAGTGTATTTTGTTAATTGTCTCTCGTTTGTGTTATATTTTAATTAACCCACCATCATCAGATGGTAGGCTGTTCAAACTTCCTTTTGTCTGTGGTCCGTCATCAATCGATTGTCCGTCATTTGTCTATTGTCTGCCTATCGTCTGTCCTGAAACAATTCTTGTTGTTGCTCTTTCTCAAATTAAATATGTATTCAGCTTAAAATTGTGAATATTTAATTTTGAGAATATTCAAAGAAATCAGAAGCTGCCAGGCAGTCATCATGGCTTTTACCAGTTAAAGTTTGTTGTTGCTTGGTTTCAGAAAGTCCTCATGAGATTTCTCTCAAATTCATTAGTAGATTGTTTTTTTATACTTCTTCAAAAAAGAAGATAATAAGAGCATTAAAGAACAGCATTCTGTTTCACAAAAGAATAATTTCTCAATTTCCCAAAGTTATTTAAACCACATTAATTTTGTTTTGTTCAACATTAATCCTGAGATTTTGAAGCTGTCTTTTTAGCTCACCTGGCTCGTAGAGCCAAGTGAGCTTATGGCATGGTGCGGCGTCCGGCGTCCGTCCGGCATCCGTCTGGCGTCAACTTTTTACTTTCACCAACTTCTTCTCAGTAACCAAAAGGCCTAGTGTGATGATATTTGGCCAGAAGCATGCTTGGATGAAGGGCTACCAAGTTTGTTTAAATAAATGACATTCATCAATTTTCAAGGTCACAGGGGTCAAATATGTTAAAACCTTTAAAACAACTTCTTCTGAATAACCAAGAGGCCTAGGGTGATGATATTTGGCCAGTAACATGCTGGGATGAAGGGCTACCAAGTTTGTTCAAATAAATTACCTTGACTTATATCCAAGGTCACAGGGGTCAAGTAGGTTAAAATCTTTAAAACAACTTTTTCTGAATAACAGAGAGGCCTAGGGTGATGATATTGGGGCAGTAATATGCTGGGATGAAGGGCTACCAAGTTTGTTCAAATAAATAACCTTGACTTATATCCAAGGTCACAGGGGTCTAATATGTTAAAAACAATTCAACAACTTATTCTGAATAACCAAGATGCCTAGGGTGATAATACTTGGCCAGTAACATGCTGGGATGAAGGGCTGCCAGGATGTTTCAAATAAATGACCTTGACTTATATTCAAGGTCACAGGGGTCAAATATGTTAAAAACATTTAAACAATTTCTTTTGAATAACCAAGAGGCCTAGGGTGATGATATTGGGGCAGTAATATGCTGGGATGAAGGGCTACCAAGTTTGTTCAAATAAATAACCTTGACTTATATCCAAGGTCACAGGGGTCTAATATGTTAAAAACAATTCAACAACTTATTCTGAATAACCAAGATGCCTAGGGTGATAATACTTGGACAGTAACATGCTGGGATGAAGGGCTGCCAGGATTTTTCAAATAAATGACCTTGGCTTATATTCAGGGTCACAGGGGTCAAATATGTTAAAATCTTTTAAACAACTTCTTCTGAATAACCAAGAGGCCTAGGGTGATGATATTTGGCCGGTAACATGCTGGGATGAAGGGCTACCAAGTTTGTTCAAATAAATAACCTTGACTTATATCCAAGGTCACAGGGGTCAAATATGTTAAAAACATGTAAACAATTTCTTTTGAATAACCAAGAGGCCTAGGGTGATGATATTGGGGCAGTAATATGCTGGGATGAAGGGCTACCAAGTTTGTTCAAATAAATGACCTTGACTTATATCTAAAGTCACAGGGGTCAAATATGTTTAAAACCATTGAATGACTTCTTCTTAATAAACAAAAGGCCAAGGGTGATGATATTTGGTCATTAACATGCTGGGATGAAGGACTAACAAGTGAATAACCTTTGCCCATATTCAAGGTCACAGTGGTCAATATATGTTTAAATCTTTAAATGATTTGTTCTGTATAACCAAAAGTTCCAGGGTAATGATATTTTTCCAGAAGCATGCTGGGTTGGAAGACTATAAACTCTGTTCAACCTAATATTATAATGTCCTTGTTCGACATTCAAGGTCACAGGTGTCATATGTTTAAATCTTTTAATAGGGTCTTATGAATGAAACACTGATATTTTGACTGTAGCTGTATTTTAGTCCACTTTTAAAATTACAAGTGTGAGATTAATACCAGGTGAGCGATGCAGGCCCATTGGGCCTCTTGTTTCATAATCATGAGAATGTGACCCAAAAGTCCAATTAGTAAATGGTATTGCTTGTCTAGTCACTATCAGTTGTTAGGATACCATTATAACTGTACAGAACTACTACCTGGTGTGCTACACTATTATTTACTTGAGTTTATGTATGTCTCTAATTGTGTTCTTATTATTGATAAAAAAAATCTTTGTATCAAAAGAAATCTTATTCTGAAAAGCAAAATCTTTTAAAGATGACCACTACAGGAACCGATATTTATGTCTGGAGCAGATAGGTTGTGAGATTCAACACGTTCAAATTTACATAGACTTGTTTGCTTTTGAATCTCCAATTGAAGATTTTGTTAAACACAGGGTTTAGATAAATTGCACTACGTGATATCGTCCAATTGTGAGAAACCTTGTTTATATGTAATTTGTTTATTGAATTATAACAGATATATTTTGTATAGCGAATAACAACAATGTATGTACTTTGATATTAATATTAAGAGATTTTTTATGTTATGAATAATATTAAATAATATGTGTATTTTTTATGAGCTATAATCAAATTGTTTGTACATTATATTATGAACAAATTAGAATACTTTATACTTGTACTTTGTTTCATAAGAAGCTTAACATTTATACTTCATTTAATAAAATGGAGCAATTAAACACGACACTTTTCATTGCAAGCACTCAGAGTAGTTTGAGCTTGGCTAGTACAAGACTGGTCCTATATCTTATTGGAATTAGTTAGCCACTCATTAATGTATGGAGGAGCGTTGCAGTCTGAACACAATACGACTAAACAATGTACACTAAGATGGTTCTAATAAAAAGTCAAACTTTAGTTTAGGACACGGTTGTATCGAGAAGTCAAACAAACTTTAATTTAGTTAGAACTTAGTTGTTTCAAAAAGTCTTTGACATTTGTGTGAAGTTTAAGACTCATAATATCAAGCATTAAATAAAAAAAAAAAAAAATTATGACACTCTATGGAAGGTTGAAGCTGGGTGTTTAAAATAAAATTTAACAGAAAAACAAACATGATAATATCGAATATGAAAACTCGTATAGAATAGACAAAGATACTCCAGTCATATCTCTATACATACTTTATAGAGTTTAAAAATGTTAATTTGTAAAATAGATATAACATATCTCTAAAGTTATGAAGCTTCGATACAACTAGATCCTTCAAAACAAAACACTAGTCTATTAAGTCAGCCATTTTTTTTATCCAAAGAAATGTGATGAGACAATTTTATTGTTACATTTCCGTTGCATAGTCATTTTATAAACCTACCAACCAAGATTGTCATTACAAATCAATAACAGCAAGAAATATTACACATGAATGTTTTCCAATCAGAAAGTGTTTGGGTCTTTTCCTTCATACTGTTAGAGTAATTTGGGACCAATTATTGCGTGATGACAGAAATTTTCAATTGGTTTCTGAAGGACATTTATTGCCTAAGGGAACTTGTAACCATCCAACCATACAAAACACAGTTGTGATTTCACAAAAATGTCTGTTTCCACCATTTGGCAACATTATGAAACAAAAGTCAATACCTAGAGAGAAGAAGAACCATTTGTTTCGTTGCTTTGAATGCAAATATAATAAATACATCTTTTTAACAATAAGATGGTAAGCAATATGCTACCAGGCTTCACTAAATAAGTTTAATTATATTTACACTATACAAGATCTGATGTTAGTGGTGATGTTATGTGATCTGAATCTTAGAGAGATTTAAGAAATATACATATATGTAGTTAATATCTATATTATGTCTGTACATTTTTTCTACCTAGTCATGAACAGTAACACAGTACCAGTAAGGATAAACCAAAACTTTTATACCAAGAAGTACATTTGTAAACATATCACAGAGGTATACTCTGGTATGCTCATAGCTCATTGATTTTAAGTCTTTCAACTCTCTCATCTGTTAAAATAGTTGTCAATTTTGGATAAGATGCTCTGTTTCAGTCATCCTGTTTTCAAGCTGCAATATTTATCCCCTATCTATCTTTTTTAGTGCAGATTATGATAACAGTCTGTTTCAGCCTAATTTATTATTATATAATAATGATAAACTTTATTTATTGAGGATTATTAATTTATCAACTTTTTAAGACTTGATTATTAATATCAAAGTAGAAATTTATAATATTTATCATCAACCTAAACATAATTTTAAACCAGAATATACAGCATACCTTTTCAAAGAGACTGGTTTTTACTAATATGTATTTACAAACTTAAATATTTTACAACTATTTACAAACTTAGATATTTTACCACAATTTATAAACTTACACTTGAACCGTTATAAGGTTTCCTGTGATCAATACTGCCGTATCAATTGTATGTTTCACTAGAAAAGTTTCTATTTGTATGTGTTTACACAATATTTAAATACTGTGTTCACCAGATGTATACATTTTTATACCTCAGTCAGATTAGACCATTCTTTTAGATATTAGTTTTAATTTGTATGAGATTTAAATTATATAAATGCATTTAAAATAAAATATGTCAGAATAGCAATAATGTGTTCGGTTTTTTTTTAATTAAAAGCATGGGCTTTGTTTTGTAAGGAAACGACAGAAAGTAAATAAATAGCGATTTCTGAAAGAAAAAAAACTCAAACAGCAGTAAAATAAAAATATCTATATCAGCACATAAGACAATAACATATTGGATATGAACTTACCCTTGATAATGACAAACAGATGCTTTCCCCTCCCCTCTCCCACCTATATGACACAAGGATATGTACCTGACGAAAACCATGGAGAGACTAAGCAATGCCCTGTTGTGACGTTATAACCACAGAGTTAGCTATACGTCTGTGGTATTACTATTGTGACGTTATAACCACGGAGTTAGCTATACGTCTGTGGTATTACTACTGTGACGTTATAACCACGGAGTTAGCTATACGTCCGTGGTATCACTGTTGTGACGGTATAACCACGGAGTTAGCTATACGTCTGTGGTATTACTATTGTGACGTTATAACCACGGAGTTAGCTATACGTCTGTGGTATCACTATTGTGACCTTATAACTAGAGTTAGCTTTACGTCTGTGGTATTACTATTGTGACGTTATAACTAGAGTTAGCTTTACGTCTGTGGTATTACTACTGTGACGTTATAACCATGGAGTTAGCTATACGGTTGTGGTATTAC